CGGGTTTAAGTCAAAACATAGACCTATAATATGCAGATATATCTTAAATCCGGTTAAAATTGCGAAAACTGCGTTCTTCTACCTGGATTCCTTGTATGTCATCTTCATCCTTATTTTCTTGAACCTAATTAGCACAAAATTAATAAATTTTCCGCAATAATGTCTCTCATTAGATTTAACATGTACTTATTCATACATAACCTCAATATAAGATGTCTGCTTATTTGACACGAACTGATTTAATGATTTTTTTCTTATTAGACTTATATACCATAATATGTTTCATTACCTATTTCTTATCTTGACTCATGCACTTGCTGAGCATCATACATCATAATAATGTCAAACATTGAGAAATGTTTGACACATTTTTTTATTATTTTTATCTTTTTATTTTATATGTTTATAACAGCTTAATGGATATTTTTGGCCCCTATATAACAAATATAATCATATTATCAGTTAATACTCTATTTATGTCTGAGAATAGTTGATATTCAGCAGATTTTTTTTTTAAGTTTGGAAAAATTAAGGAAAATGTCGTTTTAGATTTTGAATACAAAAAGAAATTCGGAAGACTCTTGGCCTATTAAGAAACTAGATCCTAGATATATACAATATTTATGGAACATTCTAAAACATTTGAAGTTAATACTGATTAGTCTAAATCAGTGTAGTTAGTGGGTCAGTGTGAAATTTATTGAAAAAAAATATATTATCAATTTTTAAATACATGTATTTCATATCTAATCATATGTCATGTTAATATTATTGTTAAAACAATTATTAAATATATTGTTAATTGAAATCGATCGTGATTAGAAATATTCGTTTATCATGTGACATGTTTGAAATTTGAATACATTTTTGGTTTGTGTGCAAAGTACTTCTGCTATATTTTATAAGTACGTAATTTATCTCTAATATATATGAACAATAATGTTCACTTTTATGAGGAATTTATGACGTTTATGGCTATTGCAAAAAATACTATTTTTAGAAATTTATTATTCCTTATATATATATATATATATATGTATACAAAAATATTCATTAAGATATCCTCCCTGTAATTCTTGAACGTCCACGTTACGTACATATATGCCACACAGATAAGGATTAATTGCGATGAGATCGCTCACTGTGAACTACCCAAATGACTTGTAAATTCATTAGTACCGTTCCAGAACCTAGCAGGATCTACTCATTTTACATGTTTTGTAACTTTCTACTCGAAAACCGTTCCTCAACCCACAAAACTGGATTGAGGAACATTGTCTCAAATTTAAGAGAGCACAAAACAAAATGGTGTTCTCTTTGTGAACTTTTTACTCGAGAAATTTGGTCAAGTAAAAATGGTAAACAGGAATGCCTACTTCTGATTGGCTGTTATGTTGATTTTGAAGTATTGCCATCTAATTTTGGCATATTTACTAGATTTGCGTTCCCGAACTTTTCAAATTATTTTGTACTCTGAGAGCAATTTTGAAATGTTTTCCTTTTACTAGATCAGTGGTGGGCAAAATTTCTCTTAAAAAATTGTTAAGAGAATATGAAAACAATGATTATTCTATGGAATTTAATTAATTTAATATTTTTAAGACATAAATAACATCCCAGAAAGTTCAAAAGATAAATTCAATAAAAAAATTACGGCAATTTGTCATTAAGGTTTATTTTTGTTTTGACATCACAAGAGAAAGAGAACGCATTAACGCTGGTGTGCAAGTCTGCCCAACTATGCTTCTGACCAATCAATGGTGGGCAAAATTTCTCTTAAAAAATGTTTAAGGGAAAATAAAAACATGAATAATTCTACGGAAATTAATTAATTTAATATTTTTAAAACATAAATAACATCCTAGGAAGTTCAAACAATAAATTCAAAAAAAAAAAAAAAATTGTGGAAAAATTTTCATTGATGTTTATTTTTGTTTTAGCATCAAAAAATGTAAAGAGAACGCTGGTGTGCAAGTCTGCCCAACTATGTACTAGATTTACTATTAAAAAAGTACTGGAACATACCAATTGTGTTAACTTTTCTTGTCTAATGTGTATGTTGTAAATATTTACTCTTAAAAAAGCCACCTGCCAGAGCTTAAGTATCATTCTTTCAATCCACGTAGGAGAACAGAATGAAATAGTTAAAGTTGAGTAGTTCCGGAACGAACTAGTCCATAAGAACTCTTTCCATAAATGAACTATTGGAACTAGTTCCATCTCGTTCCTTTGTTCTCACATTCTTCATTCGTTAATTTTTCAATTTGTAAATCTTTGCACATCAATTTATTATTGTGTAAATAATATTTTCTTATGTAAATAAGGAAGATAATTAATAAAAAAAATATTTTGAACTCATCGTCTTGTAGTAGAATATTCAACTAAATAGTTAGTTACTAGTTACTAAATAGTTAGTTACTAAAATCATAATTTACATTTAATCCTTATAGTTTCGACTCTTAGATAGTTCCTATGAATCTCTCTCTCTTTCATTATTCTTTTTGTTTGTTTTTGCTCCCATAGTTCCATATTGATTCGTCGATGGATGAAAAAAGTACAGTTGGGTAGTTCCGAAACGAACTAGTTCATTGGAACTATTCTGGTTATGCATGCAACAGCAGGTTATGTGTCCACGTACATCAATTTAATTACATCAGTCAGTGGAAGCAGAAGTGATTATGAATCTGTGTGCCGCTATTGGTGTTAGACAATTTAGTTCACGGTTTGAACTTCGTCTTCCCTATTCTCAAAACGTACTAGTTCCTTAATTCCGGCAGGCTGCTGGAAGAGGAGCTGCAAATCGTAGTCATTTATTTGTCGATATTAGTATTTTGTAATCCATTTATTGGAACGGATTTATATCTCTCCTTCATTTTCTCTAAATGAACTAGTTCCCTCGGTAAGGGTATAAGTTACCGGCTGGATGGTGGTAAAGAATACATCCAGCGGATTATTATTTGTGTTTTCAATCCAACGATAATTTGTTATTTTGTTAAGGGACCACCTTACACGGAACTGTAGCTGAAGGTCCAAATAACTCATTTATCTCAAGGTCGGTTCCAGTTCCAGCCGGCTGTTGTAGCATTTTGGCGGTTGAGAAAATGCCGGTCATTTTTTTTTTAATTTACCAAAAAATAGTTCATTGGCCGCCACGCAACAAATTGACTGTCGATATTATTGTTAGTTAATTTGTTTCACATAGTTCAATAAAATCTTTCTCTTTCATCAAGAACTTCGGTCGATGGTGGATGAAATTGATAAATAAATAAAGGAAGATGAATAAAGAAATTAAATAAAAATACAAAATTAAAGAACTAGATAAACTAGAGAGACTATATCATCTAAAGATCCGGATCTAGTTCCGATTATTCCTTTCTCAGAAGAGTTTTTATGAACTAGTTCGTTCCGAAACAATACAACCCTGGTCAGTATAAAACACTCCCGAAAAAGAGTGAATCCCAGACAGGCTATAGTTGATTTTTTATGTTCAAAGGTTATTTGTGTGTTAGTAACCAACGACAGCTGGTTAAAATGTATCATTGAAAATATATAGCTGAGACTACACAAGGAACAAAAAGAAAAACATAAAATAGGGAACAATATGTGTGATTGGGATTCTCACATAAAAAGAGTATTGATAGTCATTTCATATTGTGAACTGTCGTTCCGGAACGAACTAATTCAAAGAAAGTAATTCTCAAAATGAATAATCAATACTAGGTTCGGTTCTTTCATTCATATACGGTTCATTTTGCTCCAGTCGTTCATTTTTGTTATCTTTAGTTCCTATTGACCCAATCGTTCATCTAGGTCTTCCTGTTCACTAGTCGAACTACTAACTAACAAATGAAATAAATTTAGGAATTGTCAGGGGTCAATTATGGCTGGTGAAGTTTACAAATGAAAACCGAACTGGTCAACTTAGATGTTTGGAAAGTGTTTTCAAAATTTTCAATAAAAATGCAGATCGGAAAATTCAAGACAATGAGTGAATAGCTTGAAAGTTAGAATTTGACCGTTCCAGAAAGAACGAGTTCAATGGAATCATTTCACAAAATAAATATCGGTACTATTTGTTAGTTCATCTAGTTCCTATTTCTTCTAGCAGCTCCACTATTTGCTCTCGTTCACCTAGTTCTTTTGATCCAATCGTTCATCTTCTTGTTCATTTACCATATTAAGAGATATGTAATGAATGAGCGAACAGAAAAAGATCGAACCCCTTTAGGTTCGACTGTACTGAAAAATATATCGCGCACTAGAAGTGGCAGCAAACAAGATTGGTCAGAGAAATCCCCACTGTCAAGCGTTCACTCTTATATCCACGGATTAAAGCAAATAAAATACTCACAACTGTAAGAGATCCTCGGAACATGTTCTTTAAAAATGTTTCGCTTTTAAAATATCCTGTTTTTAAATGTCCTTCTGGAAATATTCCAGAAAAATGCAAGCTTATTGATTTTTCAGAAAATATCTAGAAAAAATATTCTTAAAAAAATCCACGCTTATTTTTCCTTGAGAAAACAAATACAAACATATTGGCCATTCAGATAATAATTCGTATAAAAAATCCAAATTTATTCATCCTTAGGATGGATCGGGTATGGGTTTAAAATATTCTTTTAAAAATCCACCCCTTTGACTCTGATAACCTTCCTTTTTTTTTAATTCCACGTCTATGCCTTCAACATACATTATTTTGAGATTTCCTAATAAACATCTAAAATAATTTTTTTTTTCTTAAAATTCCAGGAACTAAGCCTGACAATGGCAATGTTTCGGAGAGTACCACCGTAACTGAAACTCCCGTAGAAGCAACCAAAACTGATGCCATTGAATTGACCTCCACCGATTTGGTGGCTGCCAAAAAAGTTGATGAACCCGAAAATAATGGTACCATTGAGGCTACCAATGTTTCTGAAGCTGAGGGTCAGGTTAAGGTAGGAACACCAGACTTAATAAGTCTTTTTCCAAAATATTTCATTTTCAAAAAATTTTTGCAGAAATTACCCTACCCCAAATCGGTATTCTTCATTATCAGTAATGAATTCTGTGAACGTTTCAATTATTATGGCATGAGAAGTAAGTCCCCAGGAAGCGAAGCATTTAAGAAGAACTCCTTTTAAATTATTTTTATTTTTAGCAATTTTGGTTTTATATTTGAGTCGTCAATTGGACTACAGCGATGACACAGCCACTGTTATCTTCCACATCTTCACCATGTTCGTCTATTTCTTGTGTATTTTGGGTGCCATCATTTCGGACAGTTGGTTGGGCAAATTCAAAACAATTCTCTATCTCTCGTTGGTCTATGTATGCGGTTCTGTTTTGGTTACATTGGGCGCCATGCCACCATTGAATCTGCCGGCAACAACATTTACAATGATAGGTCTGGCACTGATAGCGCTGGGTTCGGGCGGTATAAAACCGTGTGTCTCAGCCTTTGGTGGTGATCAATTCAAAATGCCGGAACAATTGAAACAGATGACCACATTCTTCTCGTTGTTCTATTTCTCGATCAATGCTGGTTCATTGATTTCGACCTCTGTAACGCCAATTTTAAGAGAAGATGTCCATTGCTTTGGTGAAAAGGAATGTTACTCCTTGGCATTTGGTGTACCGGCTGTTTTGATGGCTGTTTCGATTGGTAAGGCAATCATTTCGGAATACAAAAATCAGGGATGAATTTTAATATATTTTTCGATTGCTTACAGTTATCTTTGTTTTGGGTCGTCCTTTGTACAAGAGCAAGCCTCCAGCAGGCAATATGGTTGTCTTGGTCAGCAAAACCATTGGTGTAAGTTTTCACAAGCCGTAAAGAAAATTCCAATAAGAAACGTATTTTCATTTATGATTTTTTTGTATTGCAGAATGCCATCTCCACCAAATGGAAGGAGAAGAAGACCAATCCCCGTGAACATTGGTTGGACTATGCCGATAAGAAATACGATCGCCAGTTGATTGAAGATGTTAAAGTTTTGATGCGTGTCTTGGTCTTGTATTTGCCTCTGCCTATTTTCTGGGCCTTGTTCGATCAACAGGGTTCCCGTTGGACCTTCCAAGCTACTCGTATGGACGGTGATATGGGTGCATGGGATATTAAACCGGATCAATTGCAAGTGTTGAATCCTCTGTTGATTTTGGTCTTCATTCCTCTGTATGATGTGGCCTTCTACCCCGCATTGAGTCTGATTGGTATTCGTCGTCCATTGCAAAAATTGACATTGGGTGGTATTTTAGCCGGTGTTGCTTTCATTATTTCCGGTGTTGTGGAATTGAAGTTGGAGGTAAGTGCCATTAGAGTTTTATTTATTTTGTTTTTGGAATTGGAAAATGGGAATTATTGTCATTATGAAAAAAAAATCATGTAAGATAATCATAAGGCGATCGGCTTATGGAAAAAAAATCCTCACTTATGGATCTGAAATTCCTCTTGAAATATTCTTTTAAAAAATCCTCACTTATGGATCTGAAATTCCTCTTGAAATATTCTTCCAAAAAATCCTCACTCATGGATCTGAAATTCCTCTTGAAATATTCTTTTAAAAATCCACGCTATGCCTTCAAAAATAATATTTTAAAAATCCACGCCTATGGCTCAGAGATGCATTCAAAATCGTAAGGCTCGGATATGCCTTCCCAAAAATATTATTTTAAAAATCCAAACATAGGACATTGGAATCCCTTTAAGAATCGTTTAAAATCCAGGCTTTTGGTTCTGAATTGCCTTTAAAAATCCATACCGCAAAACATTATTTTTGACCTCCACCTAAACTTAACCTCAATTTTATTTTCATCCTACCAACACCTAACCAATCACTCTCATCTCTCACCTACCAATTTTCTTCAATCTATATTTATGTTTTCCCTTCTCCCTCTATTTACTTTCTCCATCTCTCTTTCACACTTTTAGAAAACCTATCCTACACTTCCCACTCAACACATTTCTCAATTGCGTATCTTCAACGGTGAAAATTGTCCCTACACCATTACCACGAATATTCCCGGACACCAATTTATCAACATTCCCGCTCATGGCTATTATGTCAACAAAGACGTACCAGTATCGGGTCATACCTTCGAGTTTGAGTACACATTCATGGCAACAGGACAAAATTGTTACGACTTCCAAGGCGGTTCTTATAAATTGGTCGAAAAAGAAGCTCACACCCTGTTCATGAATACTAAAAATACCAGCTATCCTTTGATCTGGTACGAAGATTTTGTCAATAAACCATCGAGAGGCAGTCCAATGGGCAGAACCTTGACCAATGTTCAAATGGGACGCACAATTGAATGGCGTAAAGTTAAAAAGGATACGATTGAACATCAAGAGCCGGCATACACCAACAATTTGACTGAATTTTCAAGCGGCGATTACAAAATTTTGGTCGATGGTCAGGAAGTCCTGCAGACCACATTGAGTACCGGCGGTGTCTATACCATTTTAATTGATGAACTACAAAATGGCCAATATTATGCCCAGGAAATCATTATTACCGATCCCAATTCCATGAGCATCTTATGGCTGATACCACAATATGTTGTCATGACCTTGGGTGAGGTTATGTTCTCGGTCACAGGTTTGGAATTCTCCTACTCACAGGCTCCAGTCACCATGAAATCCGTATTGCAAGCCTGTTGGCTGTTGACAGTGGCCTTCGGTAATGTGGTTGTGGTCATTATTGCCGAACTGAAATTGTTCGATTCACAGGCCAGTGAGTTCTTCCTCTTTGCCGGCCTTATGTTTGCCGACATGGTCCTGTTCATGTTCATGGCCTATCGTTATAAGCCCAACAATCCGAATGCTGTAGCAGAAATTGAACCCTTAACCGAAAAGGATAAGAAATCGCCACTGGAATTGGAGGGTATCGATAACAAAGCATTGGATACCAATGAATAAACTGGGGATTCACTACATATTAGGTGTTTTTTTTTTAATTTTAATTGATAGAATAACAAATAATTGATGAATTTTTGTACTTTAATAAATAAATAGAAAAAAAATATTTATTTAAAAAAATTATGTCGAATGGAAATATTTATTGAGAAAATCCATATTTGTTTTGGATTTTTTTCTCATTGCGGAGAAATTACCTAAGCCTATGGGATACACAATCAACAAACCACAATCTCTGAAGTTATAAGAAATACTCTTAAGATTCGTACTCTAAACTACAACAATACGAGGTATGGTAAAAAAAAATTAAAAAAAATCCACGCCACGTGTAATAAAATCGACGCCTTGAAAAAAATTCAAAAAACCCTCGTCTTAAAAAATGTGTAAAAAATCCACGCCTTGAAAAAATTTAAAAAAATCCACACCTTGAAAAAAAATTTAAAAACACCCACGTCTTAAAAAATTTGTAAAGAAGAAATCCAAGCATTGAAAAAATTAAAAAAAAACCCACACCTTGAACAAAACTTAAATATTTAAAAAAATCCACGCCTTGAAAAAATCTTTAAAAAAATCCACGCCTTGAAAAAATCTTTAAAAAAAACCACGCCTTGAAAAAATCTTTAAAAAAATCCACGCCTTGAAAAAATCTTTAAAAAAATCCACGCCTTGAAAAAATCTTTAAAAAAATCCACGCCTTGAAAAAATCTTTAAAAAAATCCACGCCTTGAAAAAATCTTTAAAAAAATCCACGCCTTGAAAAAATCTTTAAAAAAATCCACGCCTTGAAAAAATCTTTAAAAAAATCCACGCCTTGAAAAAATCTTTAAAAAAATCCACGCCTTGAAAAAATCTTTAAAAAAATCCACGCCTTGAAAAAATCTTTAAAAAAATCCACGCCTTGAAAAAATCTTTAAAAAAATCCACGCCTTGAAAAAATCTTTAAAAAAATCCACGCCTTGAAAAAATCTTTAAAAAAATCCACGCCTTGAAAAAATCTTTAAAAAAAATCCACGCCTTGAAAAAATCTTTAAAAAATCCACGCCTTGAAAAAATCTTTAAAAAATCCACGCCTTGAAAAAATCTTTAAAAAAATCCACGCATTGAAAAAATCTTTAAAAAAATCCACGCCTTGAAAAAATCTTTAAAAAAATCCACGCCTTGAAAAAATCTTTAAAAAAATCCACGCCTTGAAAAAATCTTTAAAAAAATCCACGCCTTGAAAAAATCTTTAAAAAAATCCACGCCTTGAAAAAATCTTTAAAAAAATCCACGCCTTGAAAAAATCTTTAAAAAAATCCACGCCTTGAAAAAATCTTTAAAAAAATCCACGCCTTGAAAAAATCTTTAAAAAAATCCACGCCTTGAAAAAATCTTTAAAAAAATCCACGCCTTGAAAACATCTTTAAAAAAATCCACGATTTGAAAAAATCTTTAAAAAAATCCACGCCTTGAAAAAATCTTTAAAAAAATCCACGCCTTGAAAAAATCTTTAAAAAAATCCACGCCTTGAAAAAATCTTTAAAAAAATCCACGCCTTGAAAAAATCTTTAAAAAAATCCACGCCTTGAAAAATCCACGCCTTGAAAAAATCTTTAAAAAAATCCACGCCTTCAAAAAGTGTTTTAAAAAAATCCACGCCTTAAAAAAAGAATTAAAAAATCCACGCCTTAAAAAAAGAATTAAAAAAATCCCCGCCTCGAAAAAATATTAAAAAACCCACGCCTTGAAGAAATATTTTTTAAAATATTCACGCCTATGGAGCATTGAAAAGAATTATTTTTAAAAAATCCACGCCTTATTTTTACTCTTTGTTTTTTTTTCTCAGAAAACATATCCCATTCAACCCTCTGAAGGATATATACAATTGCGTATTTTTAATGGAATCCCGGAATGTTCGTATACCCTGGGTAGCAACTTAACTGGCTATGAGGAGATCACAATTAATGGCCTGGGAATGGGTTATCAGAAATTTATTTGCATTCATAATAAAACTTTAACTGTAAAATATAGCATACAAGAACAACAAGGTAACACCTAATCGGAGCTCTATGTAAAATTATTCCATAACCCATGAACATTTTTTTCTCACAGGTTGTCCAAAACTCCCAGGTGGGATATACACCTTCAAAGAAAAACTGTCCTATAGCTTATTTTTGCAAAATAAAATTCAACCCCAATCGGCCCATGTCTATATGGAACAAATGGAGAAGTCAAGTAAAGCTAATCCATTGGTAAGGAATTTAGCAAATATTGATCCGGATAGTACAATTGTGTGGAAATCCCACAAAACTGGCGATTCCGAATCGACGAAGAAGGCCAACAATAGAGAAATCATCGAATTGCGTGCCACAACCTACGATGTACTTGTGAATAATGTTAAAGTTCATGAGGTAAGTTTAAGGCATGGCGGGGTCTATTCTCTCGTCGTGGGCATCGATAATCACGATACAACAGTAACGCAATTGGCCGAAGTGATTGAGGCGAATTCGATGAGTATTTTATGGCTTATACCCCAGTATGTGGTTATGACACTCGGTGAGGTAATGTTTTCCGTTACGGGCTTAGAATTCTCGTACTCTCAAGCTCCGGTCACTATGAAATCGGTACTGCAAGCCTGTTGGCTACTAACCGTTGCATTTGGTAATGTCATCGTGGTCATTGTGGCAGAAGCGAAAATTTTCAAATCCCAAGCTAATGAATTTTTCCTCTTTGCTGGCCTCATGTTTGCCGATATGATTGTTTTCATGTGGGTCGCCTATCGTTATAAGCCGAATAATCCAATACCAACCGAGCGACGAGAAATTAAGAACTATGAACCGCAGGAAACCACTTTGAAAATTAAAGGTGGCAATCCTTTGGAAGCTAGATTTAGTCCGAGTTATCAGCAGCAATCATCGGCAAATCGAGTACCACGTTATACTAAACGTCAGCAAGTAGATTAGATTTTTTAAATATGTATGTACGTAACATTTTTTTATTCATATATCAAGGCGATTATTTGTATATAGTTTTAAGAATATTTTTATTATTAATAAATGTAAAAACCACAAGAAAATATTGAAATTGCGGGAGTATTGGTGGGAGTGTTGGTGGTAGATGCGTGTCAAGGCTGGATTTGTGGACATTTTCACTGTAAGGGTAAGAAAAGTTAATGTATGTTAGAATCCTGCAATGTTATATGCGATTCAGTATTGGTACGTAATTATTTGTGGAAATTCTTAATATAAAGGTAAGAAAAATACTGAACTTGATAACAAACGCCCAGACGAAACGGCTGTAACTGAAATCCTGAAATGTTGAATGTGTGTTAGTATTGACGGGTAGGTGTGTCATAATGCCGGTCTTGTGGAAATTCGTGCCATAAGGGTACGAAAAGTACTAAAATCACAAAGGGTACGAAAAATACTAAAATCACTACTTCCAATAATCAACGTTTATCAAAAACGACTGAAGATAAATTCTTGAAATTTTGTGTGTTTAGTCAGTGTCGGTGCGTTGATTTCTGATATGACCCTTTTCACGAAAATTCATATTATAAAAGTATGAAAAGTTAATAAAATTTGTACCTCTAATAATCAGCGCTGAAAAGAAACCACTAATGTGTAATAAAATTATGTTAATTAAGTAAAAATCCGATAAGTTTGTCCGAGCCGATTTTTTTATAGCATTCACCGTTCGGGACCTTTATATGGGGACTAAGATAGTTCACGTTCGAAAATGGGGAATATCGGTGCACTCCTTCTGGAACCTGCACACAGGGGATAGGTCTAAACGCGGCTATAGTTCATTATCGAACTTTACGTTCTACGTTTTTATCTCGATATCCTCCGCAGATGAAATGATTACATCAGAGTCTTAGAACCAAACTCAAAACGCGGAACAAATCAGATAACTATTTTAAGGGGGCACCCCCATTCTCGGGGTCAATTTTTTTTTTATTTAATTCGAATCTACACTAATCCAAGAATGTCCCTACAAAAGAGAAAATCTCAAGAACTCTTGAAGATATAGCCGATTTATTGTGTCAGCATCAAGTGACGGCTAAAGGGCTTCTCAAACTTTAAACGCGTTTTTCTCTTTTGTGAATGGCGGGCACGATAACTCAAAAACTAATGGCCCAATCGATTCCAAATTTTTACACGTTTCTCTGTGAGTGTATAGTTATCGTATGAACTAGGATAAAGCTAATCGGTGAAGATCTTCTTCAATTTTTAACTTGGTTTTTGGTAAAAAATCGGCGATTTTCCAAAAATATTTTTTCAAAGGTCCGCCATTTTGTCATATGTGCTCTTTCTGACACCGTGCTCTTTCTGACACCGTTGGAATTTTCGGATTCCGATGTTCCAGTGGGGAGTTATCATGCCCGCCTAAAAAATAAGAACTTTTCTTTAATTACAAAAAACAATAACAAAAAAGTTTTGTATTTTTTTATTCTCTTTTAAATCTTTAATTATATATGTACCAGCCCATTGAAAATCTACAAAAATAAAAATCGAGAATGGGGGGTTCCCTTAATATAAAAATGGGGGTTATATGGGGACTACCCCAAAAAGGAGGCGAATATTAACACAAAACATTATGTATCAGCCCATTGAAAATCTACAAAAATAAAAATCGAGAATGGGGGGTTCCCTAAATATAAAAATGGGGGTTATATGGGAACTACCCCAAAAAGGGGGCGAATATTAATAATTTTTGGTGGGGAAATTGGTTACTATAAACGACTACAAAATACCAAATTGCAACAAATTCGGTTTAAAAACGCACTGAAGAACCCCAAAATACCGCAAATTGTGGGTACCCTTATATGGGGGCTATCCGAAAAAATGGACCTCTATTCATAATTTTTTGTGGAAAGGTTTGGTACCATTAAGAACTCAAAATACTAAATTATAGCCAATTCGGCGAAAAAAAATATGATAAAAACCTCCAAAATACTGAAAATTAGGAGGTACCGTTATATAGGGGGTACCAGAAAAAGTAGACCGATGTTTATAATTTTT